GGGTTGGAGGGGATTCTATGGGAGGGGAGGAAGGGAGGGGAGAAAGATGAAAAGGAAGAATATTCTCTTCTTTCCCCTTCCTCAATTTCTTTGTTGCCTTCTTCTATGACTTTTCCCTATTTCTCCTGCTCTTCTAGAGACCAATAAGAGACAACAAGGAACAAGTTAGGTTCAACATTTCCAGCTCTCACACTTACCCAGAACAGATTTTTAACGCTTTCATGAATAAAAATATAGCCCCCTCAAAAAGAAGTAAAAACTTAACTTCAAATCACTCCCCTTCTTTGAGAGAAAATGTTCAGTTCAAATTCACTTTTACAACAAATTCAGTTGTAAAATGACTGTACAATAATATTACTGGAAGTTTGCATTTTCCATTACCGTTAACATCAGATAGCCTCTAGCTTTGGGCACCTTACACAAATCTAGAGGTTGTTTCTGACTGTGGTGGAACTTGAATCCTACACTACATGTGTACATCTTCATGTAAAACCCATATCAGTTAAACATATTACCAAGTAATTTGGATATATCAACAAAGTTGAAATGGTAAATTGGTCACCGTAATGATTACAAAAGCTGACATTTCGAGCGTTAGCCCTTTGTTGGAGCGAATAGAAGAATTGTGGTTTGTGTGTGCTTTTAAAGGCATAAATGGAGCTACGTCATTGGTGGGAACATGGCAACGAGAAAAACACGAATAAATTAGTGGAATGAAAAGTGTTCATTGATCCCTGTGGGATATTACCAAGTACATTGTTGATCCAAAGACAAATTCTATTTATCAAGTGTGGGATACAATGAAGAGATTCAAAAACAAAGACGATAACTTGCATTTGTGAAACAACTGGAACTGAAAACATTTTTTAATGCTTTTAAACCTGAAATGAAATTAGCTACATGTGCATGCAACTGAAATATTTATCTTAAATCTGTAAAATGAAACTCATTTCAAGGTAAATGAATATTAATAGAAGTGAGCTTAAAAATGACCTTTTAAAATTTTAAAAGATGTTTAACTAAAGTGAAATCACTAACATAAGTTATGTAGCACAGGACTGTTAACACAGCTGTATGCAACACAGACACTTTTCACACCCAGACATTTTTAACTCACCACACATTAAGACTGTCTCAAAGGCAATAAAAAATATCCCATTTAAAATATTCTGACTGTAAATCAATTTAAGTGATAAGCAAGGCCATGTTACCAGGGGTAAATTAGGAGACAGTATCTTTCGGTGTGAGAAATACACTATATTCCTTGCTGTTATCAGGCCATCAATATTTCAAAAGTTTTAAATAAAATCTTTCCATATTTGTACATTTGCTCATCAACCATTCAAAAGCTTTCACTGTAAGCCTTTTAAAATGTGAATTGGGAAATATGGATAGAATACTACTGGATACCTCTTTTCATTCTTTGTAAATGAATACTCCCTTGTCAAGACCTTCTCTATAAAAGATTTCAAGGTGGTGTTAAATTGAATTGTTAAAGATAACCTGAATTTTCTACACTTTAACTAATATTTAACCTTCAGAAGAGACAAGAAGAGATTTTGTATGTTCAAGAAACCAGACTGTTTATCTACAAGCAGGTGTTCATGTTGAATCATAAAATGCACACAATCAACTATTAGGTTTTTAATCCTGAAGGAGAAAAATAAAAAAAAATTATTTTACCTTCAGATGATTTAATGTTTTGTAATAATCTGGGTTGCAATTGTGGAAAAATAAAATTCATAAAAAGGTTGACTGTCCTTCATTCACACCAACTGTCTGAAGAAATATTAATTGTTATGTAAAACTCTCCCAAAGAATAACCTGAATTATAAGCAAGAAACACCTATAATGACAAGTGAATGTAATTTAAAATGCACATGCATGCCGGCTGGGTTTCAGTGGCAGGATATTTAACGACCAAGGTTCCGCACAATTGAGTGCCATAACTATACAAACATCTACCTGTAATTAATGTAAGAGGAAGTGTGAACAATGGATATTTCATTTCCAAGTAACTGCCCTCTGGAATCATGCTAAGCCTCAGTAAAACACATTTTGTACCACCATGAATCTGTGACCAAAGACAATGCTTCCAATTTGGGAAAGAAATGGTAATTTGAAGGGAGACAAAATAATATTCATGGAAACTTAACTATGATAAGTACTAAAATGTAAGTTCAAAATTAAGATATTTCTTCAATTTTGCCACAGATCAAGCAAATTCTTTGAAGTTTTTCAAATTTTTAAGTTACATAACCTGGTAATAGGATATACTTTAAATTCATCAGTGAAATTAGAGAAAAAAGTATGGCATAACACCAAGAATTGAGAATTTTTTTTAAGAAAATCATTATATCCAGTTGCAGTCTGACAGAATAATCCCTATAGTTTTCTATGATTCCATTACTCTTAAAATTCAGTGATCTTATTAGGTTTTCATTTTAGAATCCTATAAGGATTTTCATATTCATTACAGATTTTCATTTAAGGATATTACAAAATATATTGAGAAGCTTAAAATGATCTCTATATCATCTAGAAAATTCTCTGTAAAGGGATCTAACCACAATCTCTCATAAATTGCCATTGATACCATCTGTAAAATTCTTGAAAGAGCTTAGTCTAATAATTGAACATATTCTTATTCATTGTATGCTAACCTTCAAGATCACAAGAAGGGTTGAAATATCCTGCAGGCTGTTTTTCAAAATTATGGAAACATATATTGGCTTCTTGATGCAAAACATGCAAGGGAGTATATTCCGCATATCACACAAAAACTGGTTCCCGACTCTGCTGTTTCTTAATGGCCACAAAAAAACTTCCACAGAACACAGTAATTTCCACTTAAAAATGATAAAACATAATTGGGAATAATTATTAAATAACGATGACACAGGCCAAGAATAAGTAAGAACTGAAATACTCCATCCCAAACCACAAAATAATCACCAGCTTACATTTAGACATGTTAGACTAATGCTACAAAATGTCTAGTATCTACCCTTCAAATGTAGGTGCAGAGTTGTAAAATAGTGGCAATGATATATGTTGTATCTAACATCAAATATGTTAATAACTGGTAGCTCTTCAAAAAGCAGTAATTATAAAAAAAAGAAGAACAACAACAACTTCAATAATTTTCTAAACATATACTAATAATTCTTAGCTTTGGAAAACGACACCTAACCAAGTTGAGGTGTGTCACATGAATAAATGAAAAAGAGATAATTTAGCCGAGAAAAAGGCACAATTTGAATAACAATTAATTTTTCATTTTCCCTTTTTAAATTAAAGAACCCACATCTTTCAATTTCATTCTTACATAGCACCTTGGTCTCCAATCACTTCTTGGAAAATCAACCAAAGTAACAACTAACAAAGTACTCTCCCCAAGATCCAAAACATAAATATTAACACTAATACTCACTGGCCATGACAATTTCAACAGTTTACAATTCTTCATGTATCTGTTAAATCACCTTGTTTGAAAATTCTATATTTTTTTTATTTAAAATGCATATAATATTCAAAATAAATCATACAAAGATTTCAGTTAAACCTTTATGCAAATATTAACATGGCACTCTATCAGTAGCTTAAAAAAAAAAAAGAAGATAATTTTGCAAGAATCCTGATAGTTTTATATAACTATTCCAAATGAGAATGCCCACTATAAATAACCACACAAACTTCACAACAATAAAATTACCGGTACATAATATGCAAAATAAAACCATATGATTTAATTTTACTTGCTAAACATGTCTTTGAGTTTCTTGAAATTTTACAAAAAGAAACACATAACAAAGTTCCTTGTTGTAACAAAAACTGATTCCAAAGCTATCTAGAATGAAGGACAATTTTAAAGAGATGTCATATTTGATTTTGGAGAATCACTTAAAAGGAGAATAATTGAAATTCATTTTATAACAAAACTTGTAATGAATAATTTGTAACTGTCCTTCAAATAAGCTTTTAAAACCCCTTGTAGCACAATTTCTGTCACAGCTGATTAACACACTACTTATGACCTTTTCGCTTATAAATGTTACGTAATTTAGCTTTCATCATGCAAAAAAAAAGTGCAAAACACCTGACATAAATTATCTAAAACTCATGAAGTCATGAAGAGTTTCAGGCTTCTAAAACATGTTTCAAAATGCTTAGTTTGTGACATTTCTTGTATTGTATTATGACACATCTTTTGCAATGCATAAGTTTCCTTAAATGTTGCCATGCTTCACATTCAGTGCATAGTTGTTGCGTACATGTAAGCTAAATGTGTAAACGATTGTAACGAGTCATATCCTACAGTCTGAAAAACACTCTTGAAATTTCACTAAGATATTAATGTGTCTATTTTCTCCAAAAATTTTCTAAAGACCCTTTCCTTAGCCTCTAGGAATTAACATATGTGTATGAATTGATGAAAAAAGTTATTTTGTGGTTAGCCAATGTTTTTCTGTCATTATTGCTAATCCATTCCAAGTCTTTTGTTTTAATTCTTTTCAATGGTCATCAATGCCAATAATAACTAAAAGTTCCTCTTATATTTTTCTGTGCATGTGATGAAACGCCACTCGTATCATCTTGCTTGAAGTCATCTCAATATTAATAACAAATAAAAATATTTTAATATTATAGTGAAACAACACTTATGATTTAGATTTTTTAATATTCCAATGTAGCACAAAGGACAAGAAAGATTTACAAAATAAAATTTTGCTCCAAGTGTAACAGCATATTGCCTGCTTGATCTTGGATTTAATTGAGAGACCAAGACAGTGTTGTCATATTGATAACAAAGCATTGCAGGTCCCCTTAATTTCAAGGATATCCTTCTTTTCTTGTGAGTGACACAAGCTTTCTGGTGATCACAAAAAGTTCTGTAATTTAGTAATTAATAGGCTAGTGTCTATAAGTCCAAATTTAACTTCTTTGCCAAACTTAGTACACAGCCTCTTGCAGGTGGAGGGAATTTTTGGACCACAAACAAGGACATTTTGTAAAAGAAGTTTGTGATGCCCTTGCAATTGCTACAATTCACAGTGCGCTAAAAAGTTGAAAAGAATAATTTTCATCTCATTATTACAATGTGAACATCTGTGATCACAGGGAACATTTTAACACCTACCTGAATCTAAAAGGAAAATTGCAATTTGATCTCCTGCCCTTACAAGAAAAAATTGATGAATAAAAAATAAAAATTTTGAGTACTTAAATAAAGCGAAAATCAAAGCCATACAGACTATCTAAAATCCTTGGCCATGCATTTCTTTGTGTATTATTGATAGAAATGTTCACAAAAAAATACAAAAGTAAAAAATTTAATTCATTCAAACTCATATAATAAAATGATTTTCTCTAATTGATTCATCTAAGTGCTTAACTTTGTAACCGATACGCTATAGCGAAATGAGATTTTATCACAGTGCAAAAATAATTAGGAAAGCACGATCAAGAGGCCGAGGTACACCGAGTGTTGTTTACATTTTATATCCCTCTTTGAGAAGTTTTGCCTCAAAATATTTTATTTATCTATGGATCGAGGAACAATCGATCGGCGAGCCAACAATTTCCAACCGAGAGATAATGACGTCAATCGCAGCTAATGGCTACTTATCGTGACCAAACCTGTAGCGATTGGAAATAAATAAATTTGCAAACGTTTTTACCATCCATTATCAATGCCTACGGTAGAAGTAAAAAATCAAATATGTGAAATCTCGAGTTGCTAAGGAAAGCTCTACTGAACGCAGCTAGGTCAAATAAACGTGATCGAGATCAAAACAAACCAGAAGCCATTTCAAAAAGAAATTTCGGCCACTTTGAAGTTATAATATTAATATTCAGGCAATGCTTGCTGAGATAAACATATTTCATGTGAAACATCAACAAAAGAAGCCTTCCTCATCCGCAGTGCTGCCAAAGCAAATAAACACTGAAATACTCTAAGTAAACGTTCACATTTTATGACGTTAGAAGAGGCTTTATTTATTCGGAAACTGAGCGTATTTCATTTAAGTTTATAAGCTGTGAACCACACAATAAAACAAGGCTAGCAAAATTCACAAAAATCGTGCAAACAAGGCGACATGATCGCGATGCACATAGCAAGTACACCAGGCAAATAAACTGACTGAATTTTCAACAAGTTTTAGTTATATTTAGGTACCTTATCAGATTTGTCGTCTAATGGTTGCCTCATTTCGTCATCTGATGGTTCATCGTCTGTGAGGATCTCGTTTTCCGAGCAAGAACCGTAACTTGATAAAGAACAAGTATCAGTACCATCTTTTGCCAACATGGAGGCAGAGAGATCGCCATTCGTGTCCAACATATCGATGGTTTTCCCTTCAACCACACACTCCTCCATAACCGCCGGTGTTATTACAACTACCGGGGTCGTCGCTAACTGGTTAGACTGATCTAAGCAAATTACATCCTCGTTATCATCTGTTTTATCGCAGGAACTCGACGCTGGCGATCGAGTGGGCAATCCAAATTCATCATCCCCCGGGATAGTTCTACTCGTGAGCGTGAGCGCCAAATTTGAGTTGATTCCTGCGCTGAGATCTAAATTGCCACCGTTGGTTTTCGTATTCGAAGCACAATGACTTGGTCTAGTTTGTTCACGCTGATCACTATCCTTTGTAGGCTTCTTTGAATCGGCTTGAAGGGTGCTTTGATTGTATTCTACATCAGCATAAGTTAACATACACTGCCTCAAGGGTGGGGTATTATTTGATAAGTCAATTTCGCCTCCTTCGCAGTTATTGGTTTGATCGCAGTTGTCGGAATGACTGTTTGTATTGGAGAAAACATGTCCTTTCAGTGACGCTATTCGATCGGCCAAGGCTTGACTAGACATTCTTGAGAAGAAATTATCTGTCTCTGAATGGCAATTATATTTGTGAAGAATTTCTTCCACGAATGCGCCCGTCGTAGACGTCGACCTCCATGTTTTTCGACGGTCGCTCATCGCATTGCATGGCCGAATTGAATGTGTGATCCGCTGACTGAGTCCGATGGATATTATCTTGGTTCTAAGAAATCCTCGACAGAAATATCGCTTCTGTTTACTCCAGTGCGCGCGAGTTCGTTTGAAGTTGGCTTATCCTGTCTTACGGATACTTCTATTTTCCATTCTTGGATATAAATACGCTCTGTTGATTCGCTTGACGAGAGACAAATTTCGAGTTTCGACGCACTGTATATACAATAGATTACTACACCTGGAATCAAAGCCGTGACGACCGCAGTTCCACAGGTCGGTTCCAACATCAGTTAGAATGGGTATCAAACTGACATCAGTTCGAAATCAATTAAATTGGTTCCTTTCGATCCGCGATTTCTCAGCACTCTTCAGTCGCAGCCTCGCTGGAATAGGGCAAAATTGTCACACGTTCCTTCCTGTCGCTCGTGTCAACGGAGCAATCAAAATGTCAGAACATTTGTCCTCAGACGATATAAAACACGAATCCCTGCAGTAAATTCCGTAGAAATTCCATTTGAAGCCGCAGCAGTATAATCTGGTATATTCTGTTAGGTTAGAGACTCATTTATTTGTTTTTACAAAAATTTATACCTGACATATACAAATAGAAAAGACAAGTGATGCGAATGAATGTAAATGTCACTTTCAGTAATGCTTTGACACATCGGATCGAGTGATGTGAAGCTTTGACACTTTCAAGCAAGCAAAGTCTGTCGATTTCATTTTCTATGTTTGGAACGAAATTTGTTCCATTATGATTTTTTTTAGTGATGTGTGACCTAAATCAGAAGTAAACGAAAAACGTGCAATTTTGTAATTCAATACTTTCAATTTATTGCAGCGATCGAGCTCTAGAATTGTCTTTCATTAGAATTCATCAAGAGGCCAGGGGGAAAGAATAAAAAGAAAAAACAAAAATGAAAAAGCCCGGAACTACTCAAGGGGCACATCAGAATTGTTCATCGTATTGTCTGGCGCATATGTCGTTATTACATAACTATAACCTTTCCTCAAATAAATTTCACTTATGAAAGGTCTTTAAAAAGGAATCAGCACACTTCCACGGTCAATTTTTCATTTTCTTACAGGGTCTTTTCCCTAAGTGTGACTTTTTCAATAATATGCTTACGGACCTTCAGCTTGGTTCAAAGGAAACAGAAAACGCTCCTATGTATTATTCAATCGTTATTTAGAATGCCTTCGGGTATAATTTGCGGCAGCCATGTTGGTTATGCTGACGTCAATTAGGGTAACGGTTCACATGAAAGGATTCAAAATGTCTGCAATCGCTCTGCCTGACATGTCGACCTGCCGAAGGGACCGACCATTTAACTTTTAAGGGGGGTGGGGTGGGTAATTTTGAAAAAAAATTTCCTCCAAGCGAATGTTGGAACAAAAAAATTGCATGCAGTCTAAATGTAACAGAAAAAATGTACTAAAAAATCGGGAAAAAAAAACCTGCACAGCAGATTGCTAGAAAAAAAAATTTCTTGATGACCAGAAATCACCCACTCGTACTCACCCCCTCAAAAGTTAAATGGCTGGCCCCTAAAAAGACCGGTTACTTTGTACTTTGGGCTGCCTTTAATCTTTTTATTGAACGCGGAATTTTCAGTGGAAAACAGGATGCAATTGCTTTTCCCAAGAAAGAATGAAAGAAAGAAAGAGAGAGAAAGAAAGAAAGAAAGAAAGAAAGAAAGAAAGAAAGAAAGAAATAGAAAAAGAAAGAAATAGAAAAAGAAAGAAAAGAAGAGAAAAATAATACATTAATCGAACGTATGGTACCGTATTTCTGCATATCGTTTTTTACCGAAGTTACCAGAAACTTGGACAAGTTGATTCGTTCAGCTAACTTCATGCCGTAAGAGAAATTCAGTGCTTTGGCAGAAGTTTTTCTGTCGCAGATCCCAGGCTGTCAAATCTGAGAAGGTGTGCTTTAAAAAGGCTAAGATTTGTCCCATTCCAATTTTTCTTCGGGGAAATTTTGCACACTGAAATTCCCATGGGTTTTTTTTTTTTTTCAAATTTGTAACGCCCTCAACCTGCGCTGCTTGCGGCGTGTTGTACTCTTGAAATGGTCTTTTAAAAAATTGGATCACAACACGCCCTGAATTTTACTCTATGGAACAGGTTTGTTTCATGCCATTAAGCGGAATTTCAGAATTCAAGTGTCAGCTAAAAAAACGGAGCACTATTTAGAAAGGTGCTCACTTTCGAGAAGTTTTAAGCTGGTTTACAAGTTGTAGAGCGCCATCCTTTATCAGTACTCCCCACAAGCTCTAGTCTCCCTCGCAGCCGTTTTTTTCTGTATGTCACGTTATTTGGGGGAGCGTTGCGTGACATCCAAAAAAAACGGCTGCGAGGGATACTACACAAGCTCCGGATCTTTCCCGATCTTGTTTTCAGGGCCTTCCATTTGCGATGACTAAGTCTATGCCAATTTTGATTTAGTGGAGACATTTGAAAAAGAGCTGAGGCAAGCGAGGTCACCGGCTCGTCCAACCGCTTTTGCAGTAGCTTCGGCTAACCGAGAGAGCTTGGCACGGTTTGTGCTCTAACGTTTATACGTAGAGATCAATTATCTCGTCTGTTACGTCATTGCGACGCGCGCGAATTACTCTACCATCTTCTCTTTCCGTGGGTTGGAGTTCGGTTCGCTTAAGAGTCTCTCAAGCCAAAGCTCGTGGGAAAATGGAGGAAGAACATTCAACAAAACTCGTTGACGTAAGTGCTTTTGTTTTTTTCTTACTTCGTAACTAAAAGCGTTTAAAAGGTGTCTTAGCAGTGGATCGTTGAATAAATACGGATTTTTTTCGGGTGCCAAGCCTCCGGGCTCTAGCCGACCATAAGTTCAGTTGTCTAAAGTAAGAAGATGACACACTTACTGTACTGGAAGAAGAAAAGTGAGAAAGCGCAGGATTTGAGGCCGGGAAGAAAGCAGAAGGAGATCTAATGATAGAAATAAATTACTAGATAACGGGTAAAGGATTAGCTCTAAGTAATGTTAAAGCAGAAATAAAATCAAACTTTCGTCTTGTGGTTTCAGTTTTTGAGTTGCGATCGCTCGGCTTTGTTTTTTATCGAGGCGTTTCCAAATGTTTTTTTAACATTTATGAACTGAAGCACAGCCCCAACCCTTCTTGAACAAAACGGGAAATTTGAATCACGCAGTGCGCTCAAGATCAAGCGGAGTCGGGTGTCAGGAAGAAAATTTGGAATGGGCGGGCACTAAACAAAGCGCGTAGAAGAACATGTCTTCATTTTTTCTAGGCATTTTTGAGCTACTAATAAAAGGCAAGGCCTGATAAATTATGGCGCGTAGGTTTTTGAAATCTGGAATGCTTTCTTTGCGCCAAAAAAGAAGAAAGAAAAGAAAAGCATTACAGCAGATTCTTAGATCTCGACGGAATCTCACTCGTAGGGAGGACTCGTCAGTCGGCCAAAAAAATGAATGAATGGCAAGAGCATCTCAAATCAAGGCTTCAACATTTCGGTCTTTTGTGCAGATAGGTCGCACTTTAAAAATTCTCGTCAACTAGAACAGAGGTTTTTGTTTTACAAGTCGAAAATTCATGAATCTTTACAAGATTGAAATGTAGATAAACTCGCGGCGCGCGCGCCTCTTCTATTGGGGGTAGAATAATCTGAGGATCGAGTTGTCAAACAATTATGGAAGATCGAAAGAACACCAGGTAAGGGACGACAAAGAAAAGACAAGAAAATTTTTCAAGGTAGCAGAGGACTCTGAAAAACATCCGCATGTCGTAATTCCTGATTAGATTGAAAGACAATTTCAGTCGTTCATTGGCGTACAATGATACCTTATTTTTGAGCGCGCTGATAAACTGAACAAGCGAGGTGCAAGGGGTCTTGGGAAGAGAATTCTTTATTTATCATATTTTTTTGTTTGTTTTATATACCTTTTTCAATTTTTTGGCCCAAATCGAGTAAGAAAAAAGTGACAAATTTCAACCACTTATCGATTGACCACTGATTACAATGGCAACTTTAAAAAGACTGTAAATCAAGTACGAGTAACTTGACCTTCATCGGATAAGCGTGAACTTATGTGCAAATGGTAAAAACATACAATTATCAACAAAAATTCAATTTAGACCCTGTCGATGTCAGTTTAGAAATTTTTGCATCGCAACTCTTTAAACGTGGAACTGCATTACAAGCTAAAAGAACTATACTCGTACATGCAAGGCCTTTTTACGGCACCGAAATTTTCGTTGAAGAATCTATTTCTCTGTGGGAGTAGAAGCATGGTAAAACTTTCAGAACAAATGAATCGAGCGAATACCACCGTAATATTTTCAGGAAGGAGATGTTTGTTAGGGTTCTATGTCTCCGTGCTTTTCTACATTTTCTCAGCTGTTGTTCGTGGGATTCAGGAGAACCTACAGCTTATATAGCTGCTTACTGGGAGAGTCTTCTATCTTTTTCAGTTTTTTTTTTTATATCAATAAATATGCCCTTTGCCAAATAGATTCCAAAGAAAAAAGAGAAAGGGCACGGTATGGGGCACTGGTTTCGAGTTCAAATATTGTCATTACAAGGGAGGTGTCCACAATTAGACAAGGTTTACACTAGAGGAAATTGTTCCGGATTCATGATGAATCCGAAACGTTTTAGTACCGGATTGATGTTGCCGTTTACACGAAAGTGAACGAATCCGAAATAAAAACTCCCCGGTTTGGTCGTGTCTCCGGAGATTTTGAATCCGGAATTTAAAGTGGGAACTTTGAATCCGATAACAAATGTACCCCGGGTCCTCCGGTTTTCCTCCCTCTGCAAGAACCAACATTCCAAATTCCAATTCGATCTGGAACAGTGGAAGAGAATAGCCACCCAGTGGATGTCCATTGCTAAGTTATTTATTTATTATTTATTTATTTAATATCAGACAGCTGCATCAAACTGCTTGGATTATACTTCCGATGTAAAAGTGATATTTCCAAAGTACAGGTTGAGTTGAAGCTCATCTCTGAAGAGCTTGACCTGTATATTGGAAGTATCATACTGCAGTCTCCACAAAGTTTATTGAATCAACTGTGGGAAAACCTACTGCTTAACATTGCTAGCATTTTGGCTATTGTATGGCTAGAGCAAAATGTAAAAAAAAGATTGCAACAAGATCTTGGGTGTTTGTACATGTACAGACCCCCTCCCCCTTAGGCCTTGGGGCAAGATGCACATAGGAAAAGACCAGAATCAACAGACTGGCTTCAAACATTGCAGCACTTGTATAACAAGAGATTTTTATAAAATCCTTTCTATCAATATTTTTAATGATCTATTTCACCGAGATTATACAGTAAATAAGAGGCAAATTTGTCGGTGATCTTGCACAATTTTGATCTTAGAAATTGTTGTACTGATTATTGTTTTCAGAACACCGCTAGTACTGGCTATTCGCTAGCCCCAATAGATATTGATGACAAATTGCTCAACCATTACATTGGAAACATTATCCACAAAGCTGCATCAAGCTTACATGGTTTTGTCCTAAAGGCCACGAGCCCTGAGGCAGCAGACAGGGATGATACAGCTGAGAGGGGATCTACTCCTACAAATGACAGCTTTACTATGGACACCCAGCAGCAAGATAGTTCAAGTGGAGATATCTTGGAGAACATTGGGGAACCTCTGATTGCAGACTCCAATTTCATCGAAAAACTCCAAGGCAATCACATTGTACCAAAAATGCAAACAGTGACATCAAGTTTACGGGATGTTGCTATAAAAGTGATGAACCTTGCTGGGACAGAGAAAGCTGTTTTGGATTGCACTGAATCTGAGCAAGGCTATATCACTGAGCAAGGCCATAATACTGAGCAAGGCTCTTGTGCACGTTCAAAAGAGGTCATTGCAGATGACAGCTTTACTTTGGACAGCCAAGAGAAAGATAGCCTAACTGGGCATACCTTGGAATCTCTTGTGAACCCTTTTCAAGGTAATCCCTTCCCAGCAATAAATTTAATTGCAGATTGTTTATTCAAGGATGCTATCAGTCTGTTGTAACAGTTACTCGAGTCCCAGTGTTGTCTCTGTACTTTGGGAAATTAACTGCTGTATTTTTGTCAAATGCTGCAATGACTGATTGTGAAAAAGAAACCCCAATTATGTCTAATGATGATTGAGAGGTCTGTATATTTTCCATAATTGCAACACACTTTTAGAAGATGGTGTAGTGCCCATGGTGATCAGAAGCCACTTTTTAGTTATATAACTGCAAACAGCAATCAGCTGCACTTAAAGCAATAGTCCATTTTACAGTTCTGTGCTTGGTTGCCAAGCCTTTGAATGGGAGTGAGGCTAGAGATGACCTTGTTATGATACAAACCTTGCTGCCTTTCAAATGTAAATCACTTTGTTATCATGCTAACTAGATACAGGTCTCTATCACAACACAGTCATCTTTAGCCTCACTCTGAATCAAAGGCTTGGCAACTAAGTACACAACTGTAAAATGGCCTATTGTAGAAAGAAGTCTTTTTCAGTATGGTGTAACAAGATTTGAATGCATGCCTCCCCGATACTAGTTGGGCTCAACTGCCAACTGAGGTTTGAAGTGGCATGTCGTGAGTAAGGCAAATTTTACCAGGTTTTTTTTTCCCTGGAAACAATCTGACTACAATCAACTTGAAATTATTAAGTGACATTTTGACCTGTGGATGAAATACCAGTAGACCATTAAATTGTAGAAATGCCTGAACACAGCAAGTCATGGGAACAGCACAACTTGAGTCAGCACAGGTGCTATTATTGTGCATCTGCAGACCAGATCCCCTCAACATGGGTAGTGTTCTATCATGTGGAGTAATCAAGGAATTTTCCTTGATTATTTGCACATTTGCATTATACTGTCTTCTACCTATTGACCAACTGAGACCTTACTTCACCTCTCCATAGTGCCTATTGAGGATTCAAGCTCTGATTCCTCCCTTGATTTACCTAAGGATGAACATGAGTATCCACCACCACCCAAGGCTGGTAACAAGAAAAGTGTAAGTATCTTTTGTGATAGAGAAGAGCAGCTCTAACAGGTTAAATTTATTTTCCTTTGAATAAATATGGTTTTAATAATTAAGCATCAAATTTAATATTTAATCTTTTGAAATGATTTATTTCATCATGGATAGAAATTTTGCCGGTTTAAAAAACGAAGAAAGTCTTCAGCAGTTGCGCCAGTCACAAATGACAAACTGAAAGGTAAATCTGCATCTTGCAACTAGCTAGCTGGCTGAACAAATCAGGACAACAGTGTCCTATGATTAACTGTTGAATCAAAGGGAAATACAAATAATAAGCAATTTTTTTCCCTTTCAGAAACACAACCCCATAAAGTGGCTTTTGATGATCAATCTTATCCTACCAGTGACATCAATGTTGGCACTTTCATCACAAAAAGTGGTAGGTGCATGATCAGATCGTGATGACTTGGCCTACAAGTTTGTTTCAGGTTTAGTCAACAAAAAGTCTTACGATTTCAACAACTCTTAAATTTTAACCAAAAGGGAAGTTATATTTAAATTTTATTTATAGCCTTTCTGTTGCTTTTCTTGAGGAAAAACCTGATTTCAAGGTTTTATTTAAAGCCAAGTTGCAAATTATCCAAATTGCTTCTACAGATTACAAGTGGAGTACAGTTTTGTTTTTGCTTTGTTATAAATTTTAGACTTAATAGTTGTCTGGCATTTTATGCTTTCCTGGATTGTTATCTAATGTAAATTGAATTTTTCGTTTATTTAGAGCACTTTGATGAAATGGGGAACAATATCTTTCTGTTGAACAGTGAGAAAGTACCTTTGATATCAAAACTTTTCCAAGGGTCAAAATCAAAAGCCCTCGTCAACAATTTGTGCAGGTAAGCAAGATTTTCTGTTTGTTCATGCCTGAAAAAGTGTTGAAGGTGGTGGTTGGTCATTTGCTTTGATCCTTAGGAAAACATGGGAAATGGGAAACACATTTAGTAAAAGGGTGGCAGGGTAAATTTTCCTATGTGAAGTATGAAATGCAGGGAGTTCTATATATGCCTCTATTTCTGTCAGTAAAACATTTTAAAGCTGTCATTACCAATAATTATAACCAATTTACACTGTGTAACACTTTTATTATTAGTTAAATTGCTGTGTCTCCAAATTTAGAAATGTGGAGCAGTACATCAAAGACAATCTTGTCACAGACAAGTTTACCATGGTTATCCATGGAGGGGATGATGGCTCAAAGCTAGGATCAATTGGTTTGGCAAAGAAATTCTACAGTCTCCTGAAAAACAGGTTAGAGAAGAGTGGGGTGACTGTTGCAATATGAAAACTCTCAACTAAAAATAGATATACTGGTGGAAACACATTTCTGCTTAAATTGTTTGCCACCAAATTTACAAAGAAAAAAGTAAGATATATTAATTAATTTGGTGTTTTATAACAAAAAATAACACCCTGTGGTTGACAACTTTATCTCTCTTTTAACACCTGGTTTACTGGATGATGTAATTTTTTTGTGGTCATTCTTTTTCAGGTTCAACAAAGATTTGAAAAGTTGCATCATTTTGAGGGCCAAACTAAGCCTGAAATGTATTTTCAAGCTTTCAAAGCCATTTATGCAGTGAGTATAAAGTCAGAGTAAATCATATTTTTTCATTTATGTTTAAGAAATACTTGATACTGCTTGATAATCAATAGAATCTCAGCTTGGTAGAATTAAAACTGAATGGCTTTGATCAAAGCTCTTTTCTTTCAGCTGTCATTAAGTAACAGCACCTAACTTGAGTTCTTAAAACCAACACAAAAGTCATCAAAACAGCTTATCAGAAAACAAAGGAGACTGAATCAATCACAAGGAGCTTCTCAAAGTTCAAAGTGAAATTTAAAAAAATCAACAGTGGTTTCAGGTGGTCTGTAATCTTATCAATGATGATATTGGCCATCACAGTGGTCAAAATGACTGTTTTGAACTCACAAGTCAAACCAGTTTAGCTGAGACAGGGAGGGGATAACTTTTCTAGACTTAAAACAGACAATACATATATCTTATTAACCAAGCGTGAGGGCCGTACTGGGAGAATATCGGCCCGAGGTCTTGACAGTGCGGACCGAGTGCAGCGAGGTCCGTACAAAAAAGGCAGAGGGCTGATATTCTTCCAGTACGGTCCCGAGCAAGCTTGGTTAATAAGAGATTTATTATATGACTGAAGTTCAAAGGGACACAAGTGCGGTGTCATTTAGGACAATTCGGGACAGTGCCTGGTCCAATACTTAGAGAATATTGACAGGAAATAGAGCATTTTGATTGGTTGATTTTAGTTATTGGCCCTCTGACTGCCCAAGTTGTGTAATACAGTCATGTAATTTGTTGCAGGGTGTGTTTTAAGACTTAAAATGTGATGTATGTTTTGGTAAAGTAATGTTAGTATGAATTAAATTAACACAAAGAACAGGTACATTGGAAGATAAGTGACTGAAAGATTGATAATTTTACATTTGTGTCTGGTTAATTAACTATCATTGAATTTAAAATGAAATGTAGTTTCCTGATTAGGTATAATTTTTCTACAGGAATACAATGAAACAGAAGATTTCTCTTGTAAATGATGTGCGTGAACTTGTGCTGCTCCACCGTAAGTATTTCAATAAACAGTGTGAGAAATATATATGCACTGTTATATGTCCTTAAACAAGTTTATGTTATTGATTAATAACAGTGAAAGTTAAGTTCAACTCTTTCACACATAGCATTCCACAGCATATAATTAGTGAGTGGAAATTATAAAGTGAAGAAAAAGTGAAAAATGCTTCAAGATTCATTACACCCAGAAAAGTTTACTCAATCAGCAGGCAATTTGCATAATATGATAATTTTAAAAGAGTTATTGATTACCTTTTTGTTTTGCTCTTTTATCAGGCATCCCAGACAATCTTCTCCAGTATTGTCATTAACTACTTCAGATACTACATCAGGGAGGGGTGGAAAATGTTTCTTATTGACTGTTTACTTCAAATACTTTTCTATATTTATACTATAGTACACCATGCCTGGGGGGAGGGGGGAGGGGGGAGAAGAAGAAAGTGTAACAGTAGCTTGTTGTACATAGTTGCAAACAAATACTTCTCAAATTTTCTGTATACTTTATAACAATGTTGCATGCCGCCCATGGCAGATTAGTCAAGCTGTTGCACAATATTCAATAGCTATCACAAATGTTGCTTGTTGACAAAGGTACAGATGTGTTTTTGTTGTGATCATGAGGAAACACTGGTTATAAGAGAGAGGCCATTGAACTATGAATAAGCCTTCTTTAGGCATCATCAGTTCTTCTCCTTGTATGCAATGCATTGTGCAGCCAGTCTGTGATGTGACCACTATTGTGACCACTGCTGTGTTATCCTGTTGAAGATACATTTGAGGGGCTTTTTAAAAATCTTTAGGGGCATTTTTTTAGGATTTTCACATTTTAGGGCTTTTTTTTAGGATTTTCAAATTTTAGGATTTTTTTAAAGTCAATGGTAACTTTAAGAGAATAAAGACTCATTTCTCTTTGAAGTACTGACTTCAGAGTGTTTGTCTTTCAACAACTATAACAACAGGCAACAACATCAATTATTTTGCCTGGTGGTCACATCAGAGACTGGCTGCTAAATGGGCAAAAGGAAATAGTTTAACACCTGTCCACCTCCCTCTTTCTGTAGTATTCATCATCTTGTTGAGTACCAAATGTGAGAGCAACCAATTACTATGCAACATGCAGACTGTAGTAAGCAGAGTTTGAACTAACAAACTCTCATTAAAAGAAGTTGGGCACATGCTATTTTTTTTATTTTTGTAAATTGAGATATAAAATGAATTAAAATTGTGACTATCACCAAGAGACTTCCTTTGTGTCATACCGGTGCATGAACTAATTATTGATTTCCACATCATGAAGTGACAGTTGATACTTCCCCTGGATGAGACTCTAATCCATTTTAGCTTACCCCTTCAGTATTGCATCAGCCAGAGTACCTCAAAGGTCCCTGGTACCTTCCTGTACTCTAGAGTGAAAAGAGGCACTGTGACAGTAAAGTATCTTTCCCATAACACCCCTCTCCCCCCCAGGCTTGACCCATGACCTCTCAGGGGAGAGTTTTACACCACCTCTCTCTGCTTCCTTTGTAAGAGAGTTTTACATCACTTCTCTAATACCTTCACAGGAAGAGAGTTTTACACCAACTCTCTAGTATCTTTGCAAAAGGAGAGTTTCACACCTAGTGTAAAACTCTGTTCTTACTAAGGTAGTAGAGTCAACCACCTTTGTAAGAAGAGAGTTTAAAACTGCCTCTCTCTACCACATTTGTAAGAGAGTAATAATTTTGACTTAATAGACCATAAAATCCTCATAGAAAAACTATCTAAGTTCAATCTTGACGCCAGTTTGGTACGTTGGCTTGCGTGCTTCTTACAAGCTAAGGTAGATCTTAGGTTATGCGCATAGGTACAGTCAGTTCTAGTTCCCAAGCTTTGTGCGGCAGGATACCACAGGGTACTGGTTTAGGGCCTATTTCGTTTGCTTGCATGGTTAATGACCTGATGGCTTCCTGGGGCTTGCGTATCAAGTTTGTTGATGACTTAACTATCATGGAAATTCTTCCAAGAAATTCTCCTTCTGTGCTTAACTTCCTTGTGAATGACATCCAAAATTTTTCTAACACCAATAACATGCACCTTAATCCTACTAAATGTAAGTGCATAACTGTTGACTTCCTTCAGTATAATAGTTTCAAGGCTCCCCCGGTCATAATGGGGGGCACTATTATAGAAGAGGTCTCGTCGTTCAAGCTCTTAGGTGTCAACTTGTCCAATGACCTTTCCTGGGGGATGCATGTTGACCACCTGCTGAAGAAGGCTAACAAATTGTTTGCTAACAGGTTGTTTGCTTTAAGGCAGCTCAGGAGAAGTTCTGTCCCAGCGGAAGATATCGTATACATCTAATGCTGCCTAATACGTTCCATACATGAGTACGCCTCTACTGCATTTGCCAATTTACCGTCCTACTTATCTAAGACCTTAGAGTCAGTGCAGAGGCGTGCTCTCGCCATTATTTGGCCAGGTCATTCGTACTCAGATACCCTAATGCTAGCCGGTATCGAAACCCTTGATGCACGCTGTAGTGCTGCCTGTGAATCCTTTATAAGTCATATTCATAATGACAACCCCCTTTATACTGCAATGTATGCCGACGGTCGTAAATCTTCAGACTGCTACAATTTAAGATCAAATCGTACTCACTATCACTCAAAAAAGTCCACCGATTGTTTTAAGAACTTTGTGACAGTCAAATACTCGCCAGTTTAATCATACTCGTTTTTTTTTAATAATAAACATTATCATTTTAGTATTATCATTTTTATGTACATGCTGTTTTTACTTGTATGTAGTTTAAAGCATCTTGTACAGTTTTCCCCCTTTTTYCTCCTATAATTCTTGTTATTATAAACCTGTAGTTCAGCATTCTCTGCAAGACATTTGAATAAATGATATTATTATTATGTCACAGAGAAATCAACTGAATGCTACATTCTAATCAGGCAGCACAGGGCAAAAACCGTAACCGTAAAAAAACCTTAACTGTAACCGTAACCGTAATGGTTATTATTATTATCATTATTATTATTATTATTATTATTATTTATTATTATTATTATTATTATTATTATTATAAACCACCTCTCTCTCTGGGTTGACCCCACCAGGGCTTGACCCCTAACCTTTCGACCTTAATTCCATTATGCTGACCATTGGGCCTTTCAACTTCCAACAGACTTTCATAGGTGGTAGCCAGAGATATTCCACACTGATGAATTTCTTTATCAAATGCAAGGTTTACTGATTTCAATTTCACTGTAATTTATGGTATTTGATATCTTACTTTATCCTAGCTTATGTTCACTTATGGATGAAGCCATACATTAAATTCTATCGATTTGACCTGTTTCTGAAACAGGCATCCTACAATCGAAGGTTTCCATTATGTTGCAAAAATGTTCTCTCTCACCTTTTCTTTTTGAAGGACACACACTTCACCAAAGCAGATACCTTTTTTTAAACTCATTTGTCATGCAGTCAATGTCAGATGGAGTTCCCAATCTACATGTCTTCTATTTGTCAAAAATTGTTCTCTGTCACCTTTTTTCTTTAAAGGACAAACATTTAACCAAATGTACCTCTCCACTGATCAGAAGAAAGCAGAGACCTCCCTGCCATTTATCCACTCTGCCATTAACCTTTTGAGTAACAAATATCATAGAAGTCTGACTCTCCAAACTCTTCAGTATGAGTATGAATAAACTGAATCTCCAGCACCATACATGAGACCTGACATGCCACCCTTACCACCCCATTCATCTGAGTAGGACAAAGCTGGGATGGGGCTGAAAGATTTGTCCACATTGTCAGGAAATGGAATTGTGTGAAGAAGTTTACCACTTCCAACACTCCAGATGCGTGTCACTGAATCTTTTCCTGCTGCAATTAAAAGTCAAGAAAAACAATAATGACAAATAAATTATAGTTTTTACTTGCAAGATCTGAAAGCTTTCTAATCCATCAAGCTGAGGATCACAAATTTTCTGAAAGCTCGGAAAGATTAAGAGTACGTAATAGACTCCATGATTGAGTATTAATCACATTTAATGAAAATTCTTCAAGGTTAAATTACTTTTTAGAACCTCAACCTGCAGGCAGTGTCATTTTCATAATTCATTAAACCTTTAAATGGTGAAGCTAAAAATAATTTCGTTTCTGTAACCCACCTTTCCTTTTACTCTAATAAATTCAGTGGTAAGGTAACATGATCCCATTAAATCTAATTTTCATCTTTTTGATAATAGTAATAATAATTTAATATTTATATTGCGCAAATTAACATGTGGATATGATCAAATGCTCATCACAACACTTTTCTGGGGACTTTGGCTGGACTGCATCAGCAGTTTACAAACAATTGAAGGAAACTTATTTGAAGATGCCCCCTCTCCCCCAATTCCCAATAAACAGGCCACATCACAGTAATCTCGTGAGTGGGTTCTTTAACGTCCCCTGCCTAACCAAATTAACGAATTAATAGATGCAGGAGACGGGACCTACAATTTATTCTCCTTATCTGAGAAGACTAGAATGTCTCTCCATTTCTTGAAATTATAGAAAGGTAGCACATTCTCCTCAGTTATTTTAAGACCTTGAGTGTTGGTACGGCGGGGGCTCAAACCATCGACCTCCCCCACAACAGTCTAGTGCTCTAACCAATTGAGCTAACCAGGAGGCGGTTAGCTCAATTGATGGTCCAATCTACCAAACCTAGGGCGGATCCAGGAGTGGTTCGGGTGGTTCAGGCGAATCCCCTAAATTTTCCCCCAGAACACTGGAAATCATGTTTCCAAAGACCTAATTATCAAAATCTTGAACCCCTCAGAAGGGGAACAATTCTCCGAACCCCCCTTGACTAAATCCTGGATCCGCCCCAGCAAACTCAAACTGTATTCAACTAGGATTGCAACTCTGCCTTTAATTGAACATCAGATGTTGGTCATCAACTGTTTCAGAGTGTTCTAAAGTGTTATGGATGAGTCCTTCCAGAGAAAAGTTCACATTCACATTAAAGTTCATAAAGCAACCAGGTGGACAATCAGACAAGGTTTGATGCTACTCTGGTTTATAATTATGCTTATAAGTGAGTATATAAAAGAACCTCTTGTTGCGACAATTAGATCACCCCTGATGAAGGCACCAGAGAGGAGTGTAAAAACATTGGGTCTATGAATTGTAACTTCTTAGTTACATTCATTAAATCTTTAAACCAGAGTAGCATCAAACCATGTCAGCTCATACATGTACTTTTTAAAGAAATAAGCAACATGAGAAAGTGAAGCTTACCAGCGAAAATCAATGAGTCAGTGGGGTCCACATGGAAGCGTAGCCCATGTGTGATCTCATTGATGTGCCCTTCATAGTCTCGTACACAGGCCCTTGCCCTTATGTCCCACAACTTCAGCTGGAGATACAATAAAAAAACGTAGCTTTCTGAGACAAAGTTAGATTGTCAAGTGAATTCTTGGCACAAAGACTTCCCTCTTGTAGAGTTTGGTCAGAATTTCCAATCTCTCAGTAAATGGTTACTTGTGAATTAATGTTTACTCTCAGTAAACAATCCAAGCTTGGTTCATCAGGACTAACTATCTTTCCCAACCAAAGTGATTCTGATTAATTTGCATGCAAGCCTCTGATGATCAATATAGACAACACTTAGTGGAAACACCAATTCCTGTGTTTTTTAAACAAGCCATTGCTACCGCAGCTGTACAAGATACAATTCTATCCTTTCTCATCAAGATTTTGTCATTCAAGGAAGAACATGCTAAATCAAAGTGTGAGCTAGCTGAGGTGAAGGCACAGGCAAACAATAATCGAGAAGGAACACCATTTGCATCTTGGAATGTATCGGTATACATATTCTCCTTACTATTTTCTATACATTTCCTAAGGTTCTGACAAGGAGAATTTGGTTAACAATCAAAGGCTCCTTTAGTTGGTGATTGTTTCTTTCCTTCAGGTGACTTTAATGTGTGATTCAGGAAAAATATTGACAGGAGAAGTAAGATGCTAATCACTCTCAGGGGTCAGAGAGTTAAAATATTTCTTGTGCTACATGTCTCAGGTCCAATAGCCTGCAGTGCTGGCAGTTTTGGTGGTTTTCATCTTTCGAGTGTTTAGCTGCCATGTTTGATTTGCTGCAGACTGGGAGAATTGGGGTGAGAATGCGAGAATGTTGGAGTGGGTAGGGGGACGGGGAAGAAAAACCTCTCCCCCTTTCCCCTCCCCCTTCCCCAATTTTTCTCTCTCCCTCCCACTAGCTTGGTAAGCTTTTTACCTCGCCCCAACTCTCCACTGTTTTTCTAATTCAAGATGGCCGCCTGAACAACCGATAGGAATATCCACTTGCCCTGCCAAAATCTGCCTGCACTGCAGGCTACATGTCCAAAGTCAATCCTTACCGATCCATCTAGACCACTGGCCAATAAGTAGTTCTCATCATGCAAAACCCGTAGGCATGTGATTGATGCCAGCTTTCCTTGGTTTAGACACATTACTGGCCAGTTGGCACCAATCAGACGCACATCACATGTACGTATGCAGCCATCGCGTGAGCCATTGTAAAGAAGAGGATGCTGGAAAAAAATTAACAAGGAAAAATAGTTTGAGCTACAAGAAGTATGAAGCTACTAATAAAATGAAGGGAGACAACATAACTATCATCATGTTATTAAAAAAAGCTGCACAAATTTTTCAATATCAACTTACACTCCATGAAAATTCCTGAGCAAATACTGCACTTTCACACTTGGTATGTATTACACGTCTCTTGGTGGACACATCAAATGTTAAAGCTACCTTACTTGCTCCTGAGAAAAAAGATCATCTATAAGTTTTAATTCTATTTTTGGAAAGGGAAATGAAAGAACAGAGTTCATTAAGCCAGTGGAACTGGTCAATCATCTTGTTAAACAGAAGTCAACTCTTTCACTATTAGAACTGGCCAACAAGGAATTTCCCCTTACCATATCCATACAATTTTAAGCAGAAAGGTAATGAGAACGAAGCAAAATATCAAGAAGGGAAAATTGCTTATCTAATATCAAATTCTAAGAACAGGTATCTTAAGCAACATATGAGAAATGGTAAAGAGAATTCATAATTAGATCTTGGGCGAGAAAGGATTAAAACATCCATCAGTATCAGCACCAGTAAAAGCCAGCAAGTAGTTGGTCTTTTTACCCTCCCATCAATTATCAAAAAGACAGCCAAGAAAAAGGGCAGAGAGACCAAACTCAATTTTTTCTCCTTATTATGCTGACTGCAAGATAATTATTATAGTTGTAAACAATTTACACCCACCAATACTGATTATATTACTATAGAGAGGGTTTCTGTTCCATGCATTAGTCCACACTGAGTTCCCTTGTACAGAAGTTCTACCAACTATTCCTGTGTAAAACCAGAGAAACAATTACAACTTGTTACAAGCTTAATGTGCTTGTAACAAATCTAAGACCAACAATCTCCACAAGATTCCTGCTACCTAATGAATTGAAATAACTCTTTGATTAGAAAAAAAATGGTTGTTTCAAAAAGGTCAGTTTTAAGCATTTTTTTTTTTGCAAGTTCTGGTACCTTTTGGGAATCTCTTTGGAAAATTAAAAACTTACGTTGCGAAGCACCTTCCACTGTAAAAACCATGGTTTCACCAGACATGTTTCCATGACCAAGTAAAGATAATCTGTAAATAGTACTGTTAGAGAAAAATAACTTCACAATGTCACAGACTACAGCTGAGGTTAGCTAGGTACAAGGTACCTCAATTCACTGCAGATATGAATATGATAATCATATATATGAACAGTGCCAGAAAACTCCTTATATTCCCCCCTTCAGTTGAGCCCTTATATCTCTCTAGAACACTTCCTTAACTGACAAAATTTTGTTGTACTTGTGGCTAACATCTTCAATCACTTGATCAACATGCTCAAAATTCATCATTTGAATGGTTGATTAGATAGTTGTTTTTGTTTTTTTTAGCCAACTATCTGTACAAAGTAATTTGAATATATCAACAAAGTTGAAATGGTAAATTGGCCACCGTTACAATTTTAAAAGCTGACGTTTCGAGCGCTATAGCCCTTCGTTGGAGCGAATAGAGGAATTGTAATCATTCTAAGCAACATATGGCAATCTGCAGTCTTTCCTTACACTTAGGTAGCACGGAAAGCTGTAAAAATCTTGAACACAAGCTCATCTTTCAAACCGGCAGTCTAAATCCCACAGGTATCAACGAACACTTTTCATTTCACTAATTTATTCGTGTTTTTCTCGTTGCCATGTTCCCACCAATAACATAGCTCCATTTTCTGCCTTTAAAAGCACACACAACCCACAATTCCTCTATTCGCTCCGACAAAGGGCTAACGCTCGAAACGTCAGCTTTTTTAATCGTAACAGTGACCAATTTACCATTTCAACTTTGTTGATATATTCAAATTATTTCATTACCCCCACCGACGCAGCCCCAAAGAGTTTCTTTAGAAACTATCAGCCTTTACTTATCTGTACAAAGGATGCTTTAAACATTGTCTATCATAGGAATATCCAGGGTGTTGGTTATGTATCAACTTTATGCATGGCCTAACTCGATGAGGTCTCTGTGGCTGTGCTTAGTTGGGAGAGCATCTCAGAAAGGATCTTTCCCTCATGAGTCACTCAATCAGAGACCTCTTTATTTGTCCTTCAATTGGGACACATGGTTATAATCTATCTCTCTAGAAAGGATACATGTATGTGTTCTTTGTTTGTTCATGTGGACTCCAAAGAAGACCTGTTATTTTCTGATGAGCAACCACACCAAACAAGTCATTCATTCAGTCAAAGAAGGCAAGTCTTGTAACATCTCAATCATTTATAAATAATTCAGTTTTAGTGACATTAAAATAATAGTTTAAGACCAGTGAAATGCACTGCAGTTTTCAACCAAAATACAATGTTTAACTCAACTTTGAGTGAACTTTATGACTTTTAAGCAAGCAACTTAATTCTGCTGAGGGTAAATACCTGGTTTTTCATCATTGCCATTTTGTGCACTACTTCAAAATTATTGTTTTTGTCCTTTTTTAAATCATGAAATTGTACTCTGTAGAAAGACACAAACAAAAGTAGCATAAGAATTCTAAAGAATCAAATATTTGAAACCATTCTTTAATTTTTTTATAATAAAATATAATAATAACATTAAATAATAAATGTAATTTTTACCATAATTGGCACTAATATCCCAATCTGATTGGCCAGTTTGCCATTGTGGATAAGTGTACAGACAATGCTGCTTGCATCAACATGTCAGACACTGAAAGAATTGTTTTATTTGACATCCATATCATGCTGTGCCTCAAGAGTCCACAACATTTTGACCACTGTAATGGCAAATTTTGTTGGCAATAAGAGTACAGACCGGGCTAAACCCCTGTTGATTTCCTCATGGTAAAATATTTTGCTTAAGGTCCAAGAACCAAATATTATTCCTTCCGGCCCAACCAAACTGAGTCAATAAGTATACTTGTCCCCACTTCACAGCAAATAACAGCTTACACCTTTTAGCACATTCCAATAAGAATTCTAACAACGATCTTACGCTTGGTTCCCTGTGGGTTTGGTCTCATACAGTGTTAGTATCCTCTCATGACAAGCATCAGGCTGTAAAGAATAAATTCAAGAAAAAATACATTAAACAATAATTAATGTTTGGGTAAGTAAGTTACCCTTACTTCGTCCATGGTAAAATTAGACTGGAAAGTGACTTAACATACTATATACTGTATATTGCATCCTAGAAATCTCATTACTCAAAATTCATCCGATATATATTTAGTAGTACATAGGAGCAGTGCTCTCCTTTTCAGGTGGTAACCTGTAAAATTTGATTCCAGTAGTACCTCTTACTGCCAACTAAAATCACTTGGAATAATTATTGAAAATTCAAAAAGGCAAGAATTGCCCCGACTACTGTTTTGAAAATTTACTTTATGTGTCATGCTTAAAGTAAGGGAGAACACAGTGACTTCACAGGAGTAATGATAGACAAAACCATCTTGTGACAAAGTGATTGTATTTACGGGATGGTTGTACAGCAGTGTCAGAGAAAGGGTTGGCTGAATTGTTTACACATGCTGAACCAACCTCATTCCCAGGTCTCTCATCTTCCTGCCCCCTTCTCGGTCCAAACTTACCGGGTAGAGGTTGTTATCTTGATCTAACAATTAAGTCTTAAGTTGTTATCTTGATCCAACAATTGAGTCTTAAGTTGTTATCTTGATCTAACAATTAAGTCTTAGGTTGTTATCTTGATCTAACAAGTAAGTCTTAAGTTGTTATCTTGATCTAACAATTAATTCTTAGGTTGTTATCTTGATCTAACAATTAAGTCTTAAGTTGTTATCTTGATCCAGGACTTTGGCTGGACTGCATCATTGCAAGGGAATGGGTAGCAGCTAAAGAGGAGAATTAAGAATCAGATCTTGAGAGTTAAAGGGATAACTTATCTCTCCACTTGGAAGTATAATAATGAATTCTAAAGAGTCTATGAATACTAACCTCTATCCGTGATACTGCAAACTGATCCAGTTCTAAGTAGTGATCTACACAAGGATCCAACTTTAGTCTTTGCCTTATTTTTAACAGACAAGTAAGCTTTTCAAATAGATTCCTGTAAAAAAGCATTTCACATTATGGAAGTTTTCATTTGACTATACATGAACAATCTACATCCAGTCATTTAATATCAAATATCTAATTGCTTGATTTTTTAATCTACATGTACAACAAGCATGCAATGTTTTCTACTTACCTACTGCTTGTTTGTGAGCAACGAGTGTACTCCCTATCATGGAGGCTATTTACTATAGAAATTCTTGATGGTTTCTGAGATTGTAACATAATAGTAAACAAAATAAATTTTAGTAATAATATTCTCATTGTAAATATGTTACCATCCTGTGATAGAAGGGTCAGGAAGTAGAAATAATCAACACTTCCTAGTTTCTAAACCTGTAGTCTTCACAGAAGACTACTTCACAATACAAAGCTGATATTTCACAAAAAAAGGTTGTATTATTTTAGAAAAACTGATAATCTCTATGTCTTGTGTGTATGGCCCATAATAATGGCTATAACTGTTGATCAACACTTAACAGCATTTGTACTTTACTATACATAGAAATGGATAAGACATAACCCCAAAAGCTGGAGACATTATAAATTACATTAATCATTGTCTTCATAGCTATTTACTTAGATCAAAATGATGAGGAGGATGATGATGAGGAATTGCAAAATCAAAAAAAAAAAAAAAAAACTGTTATCAGGAAGCAAAATGTAAACACCTTATTATTTAAGTTATACTCACTTTGGTTACAATGAATATATGAAGTTCATATATTCATATAAGGATCGTGCATCATACGTATTTATACTCACTTTGGTAACCTTAATATCACCAGGTATTATTTTTCTCTGATTTTTGGATGAGATGTACTTATATCCTCCACACTGGCATAACACAAAATTTTTTCCTGGAACTGGATGATCTTTGGTGATTTTAAAATAGCGCTTCTTCTCTGCATCGTAATAAAACCCTGGAATTTGTATTTTTGGTTAAGGAATGATGATGATAAAATCGTTTTTGGTACAAACTTCGGTTAATAGAAAACTGTATCTAATACGGCTGCTAACAGGATTATAAAAGGATATCTCGAACTTCAGAGTTCTGAGGTTTACTTGAATCAGCTGTTTCCACCATACAACTTTTACTGCTTCCTGAATTTGAAACCCCAGCTTTTTTCTGTTCTCCCCTTGACCAAGCCGGCCCTTTTCGCCTCCGGAATTTGTTTAAGTTCATCATTTTTATGTTGAGTTGGAGGGATTTTGATCTCCCTTCAGGTGGATTAGAAAAGTTTCTTCTACGAAGAGTCATACTCTTGCTCCTCTGCGTTGCTCTATGTCGACCACATGCATCGCGTCTTGGTACGGAAAATTCGTTTTGATCCATTTTAAACCACACGAAAACTCATCCAAAAAACATATATGGTCCTATCCACAAAAGGAAAATTTCCCATTCAGTTTAGATCGTAATCAGAAGGGAAAAAAATGCTTTTGCTACACGGAAACCGTTGCAACGCATAATCGTTCCACCATCTTAAATTGTGACACAACTGTTCCTCACATTACTCTCCCCAGACTTCTCTGCAATCATTGCGTGACACAATATCAAACCTGGTTTGCGTGAAGGTGAAATTTACAAAGACACTTGAATCCACGAAGTCGTAGATTTAAGATATTCTTATCATATTAAGGGAAATTGTTCTTTGGGATCACGAAAAGCCTTTATAAGCTAATCAAAACTTCCATTAATGGTTTTCAGCGTACATCACCTTCACCACATGCGAGCTTTGTTCAGACAAATCAAAGCTTTAAAACAAAGTTAAATATTAACAAAACTCGAGCTCTAGTTTTGGGATTTAGGGCTATTCACGAGAAAGAAATATCCTTTGCCAAAAACTGTCACTGTTTCGCCTAATAGTAACACATTTTTAGTTAAAAGCATTTATTTAGACCAGGTATTATTCGGTCGGCTGTGACTGGTAGGTGTCAGAATTGTAATTAGTTTTCAGTGGAAATGCCGGGGGGTGATATGCAAACTAATTAGTGGTTTAGCTTGTGGTAATAAATATCTAACTTTCACGGTAAAGGAATCAAATTTCTGATCAGTTCTGAACGAAAAGGAATGATTTGGCTTGACACTCGAACGTCTGTAGCTGATAGTCAGAAAGATCACAAAATTATGAAATCAATACGTTGTATCCAAACACACTAGTCACGCAAAGTTTTAATTTCATCGATGAGATTTACATACAGACCAAAGACGGATTGAGAGCAAGATGAGGGTTTTCACGTTTAACACCCGTGCAAGAAGTCTCAAAACTTCGATGATCAGTTAAACCAGTTTGAAGGGGAAATGGCCGAAAATGCGGTACGACTTGGTCAATACGAACTTCTCAAGTATTCCTTTGGAGCGTTCCTAACTTGTTCTGACGTAGCAACCGACATATTGATAGCAACAACTTACTACCGACAGCGACAGTTTATCTGGTTTAGCTTTTGCTTAGCGTTTGCAGTTATGCCATCGCTCCTATTAACACTCGCATATCTCTTGCAACGCTGTACACAAGAGAGCAAGATCGCGCTAGTGAGAGAATTTATTTTCTTTGCCAATCCATGCGGATCTGGTTTTCTAAAGATGAAGCTTCTACTCGTGTGTTTACGGAATTATGATGAGGTACGGAGCGATCAGGGCTGGCTCGTCGACGACGAAAAACTTCGGCAGGATTACAGAGCCGAAAAAGTTTATCATTATGTAGAAGGCCTTTTGGAAAACATGCCACAAATCCTTCTTCAGATTTACGTGACAATCATTCAAGATCAAAACATCTATCCGATACAGATTTTCTCGATTTGTGTTACATTTATAAACCTTGTTTGGGTAATGACCTTGTTTGAATATTGCAGCTTCGTTAAAGAAGCTACAGTAACAGATTTTTTTGTTATAGTATTTTACAACGTTTGCCTCATCGCTGCCCGTGGACTGTCAATTGTAGCTTTCCTTGTTGCTTTTAAATGGTTTACCTCAGCTGTGCTGGCTTTCCACGAGTTTGTCTGCATAACAATTTATATCTACAGAAATCACAAATACTTCAGCGAGAAAGAAGTTTGGTGGATTGCTTTGCTTATTATGCCATGCTACGTATTCGTTTACCTTGGATTTAAAGTGATGGATCTTAATGCCAAATTGTTCGACATAAAACTTGCTAGATCCGTGTTTTCTTCAGCTCTCTTTTATTTTTGTTTCACCGGTGAAAATGTTGTAATGATTTTGCTGTTTTTCTCATGGTCAAAGACGAATAATGACTTTCGGTGGAATCCGTGGATTTCAAAAGTTGCCACAATTTCTGTCATTGTTTTGTCTGTAGTAGGGGCGGTCATACAAATTTTTTTTACGTTTTCATTCTTTCATAAACCAACAAGAATTACGCCCAACCCTGAGCCAGAAATTCACGGTTTGGAATCTTATCAACCTAGAGATATCCTTGCTAACCAATCGAATTCACAGGTAAAACCACGTGAATCTAGATATATCCCGCAATTTGTACCAGAATAGTAATAAAAATTGAATGAATGTATTGCATGATCAAAGTGCTCACATCTTGAAGAGTCCATAGAAAAGAGAAAGTCAATTAGATGGCTGTTTACATCTTGTGTAGGTTTTTCTTGTGCATTCAGAAGGATTGTCCCTGGGTTCCCTGAGATGTTCTAATCTGCATATCAAAAGGTGCCTCTTTTCCCACTTTGCCAATGCGCAAGGGTGCTTTCTTTTCCCTAGGAGGAGAATCAAACATTAATGATATCAGAATATACTTTAGAAATAATCGCCCTTTAAGGAAGCTCTTGGTTGTCAAACCAGTTCTCCCTGCCAGTAACATAGGAAATGCATATAGAACAGTATGGAGAATATCCATTCTGATGTCATTCTTATGTCAGACAAATAGGTCAAACCTTCAACTTACACCTCCGGTCTTCTTCGGGGCCGGTGCTTCAGATAAAGGATATCATTGTACTAACCACAAAGACATCTTGTAGTTCTGGTCATGTCCAAATTTTATGCCCCTTGTCGTAAGTCCAGCCCAGCAGTTCAATTGGTTTCCCTAAGATTAAAGTGACGTCAACAACGATTTTCTTTCACAGGAAGAGATTCTTCTACAAGTATAAAATGAATTTTGCCCCGTCATTTTGTCGCTGATTACCCTTAAAATTTTTTTAAGCTCAGCCTGATGCAAATTCCAAAAGGCGACGAGGGGAGGGAGGGTGAGTTGAGAAACAGGTAGATTTACAAGAGTTTAAAAGCGACGAACCCCAAAAGTGAAGGGCGCGAAGAGGCAAAGGAAAAAGTTCGAGATCCAGGAAAATGTTTTGAGATGTTTTAATGACGTCATCTTTAGTGCTCATAGCTCTACTCAACAAGTTAATAATAGACAAACATGAAATGCTATTATGACGTCATTGAATTCCAAAGGTTCCTGGTGATAAACATGTTTTGTTCCTAGTAACCCTGGTATACAACTCTGTGAACAGTGTTACAAGCTCCCCGCCGCAATCCTGAAACTTGCTCTCTTTAAGAGTAAAAAACTCATAACAAAAAATCTAGCATGTAGCTTTTCTAAAGTATGGGTTACGTGCAATCAAAGGCTCGTAAATCCCCGATCAAAAGCACAAATCCTTCACCGTGTTCGGACAATGAAAACTTTGAAGAACTTAATCACCAAGGAACCGTTAATGACCAAGATCACTGCAGGCACCCAACTAAACCATACTCGACGACTCCAGAAAGACAAATCCCTCATCCTAAAACACAACTCAGTCAATCAGCGCGCCAAGGTAGGAAGCAATGCATCATCCCTTTTCATCACTCTTTTGAAATCCTTATAGATCACAGGTTATATATGTTTAAGCGCTTTTCACTTCAGACCGAGTTTTCAATTGTTTAATATGCTATGTATTGATTTAATACGGCTGTACATTTAAGTCGACCTTTACTATATTTCTCCATTATATTCTACATCAGTTTTTAATGTAGTTTCTCTTATCAGGATTTGATTCTTTTCGCCTATGTCTTCTGCGTCAATTCTTTTTTCGTTTTCACGTTCGTGGTAAACATGAGTGTAACAATGATTTAAATTGTCGATGAAACGCTATGGTAACAAATGTGTGCCATATCTGTAAATCAAAGTCTTTTTAACGAATAACCCTTTTGGAGCGCAATGAACAAAAGTGTTGACAGTAAGTCGCTAAATAGACCGAAAGAATGTGAAAATAGAGTAGCCGTTTTGCCTACAGACACTTCACGACAACCTAACGAAGTTTATTGAGTGTTATGTAAATCAATTTCAGTCTTCAAGCTTCACTGAGTTTTCTTTCTAAACTTCCAATCAACGCTTGCTGAGATGATGGATTTAATGACTTCAATTTTTAATTATCTTTTGACATATGACATATGTCCGTTGAGTTTACAATCTGCGTTTGTTGAATGCGGCTGTAATGGCTGTGGGTGAACGAATCATGTTTACGTGGTTCAGTTAATCTAGAATAAACTTTTCGTCAATTATGAAAACTTCATCGAGTTGTAGCGAGTACTCTCCATTCAACAAATTACTTGAACGCCACGAACGACTCAGTATAGCGTTAAGTCCTCAATGCGTAATTACAGATGCGCAAAACCAATCACGTACTTGTTGGACTGAGGACCAGGAAGTACGCTTGTATGTCTATAATTCCTTTTTAACTTATTTCTCTTTTGAAGCCTTTTTGAAGTCTTTTTGATGTCGTAATGGCAAAATTTATACTCCCAGTTGTACTTTCAAGAAGCATGCAAGCTTCTTTCGAAGTAAAGACTGACTATTTTTTTAAGTTTGAGGTGTTCTTTATCAATATCTATAACTTGAGTTTCAGAAATAGTAAAATCAACAATTACTTTTACTATTTCTAGTTACGCTCTACTTTATGTATTGAACACTATACAGCCAGCTAAAGCATCTCCTCCTGATAACTTGAGTTTCATAAACCATCAGCTTTCTTGATACGAGCGTACTGAAGGAACTGTAACAAATAACTAAGTTTTGAAAGCTGCTTGATTTTTTGTTAGGTGAGAGAGAACTACATTCGCTCGATGCAAACAACACTCAAACAAATGTTGGACCGCAGAGGGATTTAGGAAAACGGCCTAAGCGAACACGCGTGCAGGTAAGGCACTGGCAGATTCAGTATTTTATCATTGTCTTGAAACGATCTTCAAATTTGGTACTAACTGTGAATACACTGTTTTTTTTTTTTTTCATAAGAACGTTTAATTTTGGAGCTGAGGCTGAACGTTCTTAAATATTTTCGCGATTTGAGGCTGAAAACATTCTTAAGATGTTATCACCTGATGACTTTGATGGTGTGGAAGTTATTATGGAACAGTTATAAGTTACTGAACAGCTGATTGTGTGTGACAAACCGAGATGTACGTCACTATTGTTCATGTTATACAAAACATGCCCTCAAGTACTTATTATAGATTAGCAAAATAAAAACGTTCTTAATGGACTCTCAGCCCGAGGAATGTTCTTAAAGTTTTGGTTAATCTCAGCCTCGACGTTCCTATAAAGAAGGTTCTTATAAAAAAAAAAAAGAGTATATATGAAAACATACGTGTGAACTTCGGATCAAAAAATTTGTTTGAAAGCGATCTTGGTAGTAATGAATATTACTTGAGCAGTGGTGAAAATAAGCCTGAATATAATTAGGGCCCGTACGGGATTTGAACCTTATGACCTCTGCGATACCGGTGCAGTGCTCTGACAGCTGAGCTAACAAGCCAACTGGGAACTGATCATCAAGGAGATAAAGCACTGCACCAGTATCGCAGAAGTCGACGTTGTTATTTGCAAAGAATAGATTACATTTTGTCGCGGGTCTTTGCAGTAACAGATTACATAAAACGTCAAATATGGTAAGAAAATCAGTGAGCCAATTAACCAGTGAGGTTTTCTCCATTCGAATTGCAGGCGACGTGTCGTCCATGTCTCAGACTTACAATTAGAGTACTTCGTGGGCATAATATAACTCTAGGCGGCCTAGATGACATGCGTAAGTATTTATAAACTTCTGCGCATGTTCGGAGTGATTTCTTTTGTCAGATGCTTCCTGTTAAAGCTTCGATTGTTTTAAGAATGTTGAAGTTCAAGTAGACTTGAGCTAACAAATTGTAGATACAATGGTTGAAAGGCAAGGGAAACGGCGAGAGAAAAGCGGACATTGAAAGAGACAGGAAAAGACGTACTAATAAATCCTTTCAAAGGATTGTATATAATGATTAATATAAACGGTAAACCCAAACGAACGACCGGCGCCATTTTGCACAGACTATTGTTAGAACCAAATGAAGAACAGTTAGGGATGTAGAACTATGCTTGTTGCAAGAAAATAATGTAATTTCTTGATAGTCATAGCTAAAGGCTGCATAGGACATTTAAAGAAACTGTTTTCAAAGACTTTTCAGCAAATAAATCAACAGTAGTAACTGTAGAATAAAACCAGTCTGCTAACAGCCACATATTGGTACTGCGGCTCGAGTGCATAGCTCATAGATTCTGGGCCTGCAAGGGGTCTGTGAGAGGTCTGGGACTTTTAAAAGCAGCCAATCATATCCGTCTATTAGTGAGTGAATTCTATCTTATAATTCTCTTTAGTTGATACTCCTGATCCTTACGTCAAGTTACTTATACCAACGTCACCAAACGGCAGACGGAGAACCAAGGTTCAGAGAAATACCTCTAATCCAGAATGGGATGAAATGTTCCAGTTTTTTCTTGACCCGGAGAAAACGAATTTGCTACGTAAGTAGACATAAAGCGCATAAAAAGGTGACACTCCAAACATGGGTGACAATCCAAAAATAGAAAACAAGGTCAGCTGAAACATGTGGATGACTCGCGCGTGATTCAAGCGTGATTTGCGTGTGATTCGCGCTCACTTCGCGCTTACCTCAGTCTGCTGAAAAATCACACATGCATACACACATAGAATCTTGCCTATTGGGCAGGCTTAATAATGTAAGTGATTGAATAACTTTAGTGAAGATTAGTGGTCACGCTCACTTTGTTCGAGAGACCGTCCTAGTTGTTGGTATTTTGTTGCAATGTTGGGGAGGCTGGTGAGAATATGGCTCAGAGATGGTCAGGAAATGGCGCGAAAAAAGTGATCAAAATTGCGTATTTTTTTTTTCGTTTTTTGTTTTCGTCTTTAAAAAAAAGATAGAGCCAAGAGCGTTAGGTCAGTCATTTTAAAAGCTATAAAACGCATGAAGTGTTACCAACCTACTGTAAAAACTCCAGCATTTTTCTTTACATTTGTGCGTTTTTAGAAATAACACTGTTGGACTCTGACACGGTACATGACGATTTGGTCGAAAAAGAAATCTTCGACCTTGGAACCCTGAAGCTTAACGAGATTCATCAGAAGACGTTCACGTTTCGGGAGGTAAAACAAACTCTCTCTCTCTCTCTCTCTCTCTCTCTCTCTCTCCCTCTCTCTCTTTTTCTGGGTGTCACGTGATGGGATCAACCTTCGGCTTCTAGGCAGACTAGCCTTAGTTGTTCCTTCCCCTGAACGTGTCTATATCAAAAAAGGTAACACAGGTTTCTTTTGGCGTTTGATTACTTTAACTCAGCCTTTTCTTTTTCTTCTTTTCAAAAGTTCCTGCCGAGAATTGTCCATTTTTGTGATGTCATTTTGTTCAAACAGCAGTTCATGGAGATAAGACTTACCCGTTTTCTTTTTTCGCGGGAAGTTAGTTGCAAATCTGCTTTTATGCGATGTACTGAACTGAGTTTTCCTCCTTGCGTCCAGATTGAGATTTCGAGTAATTCTCAAACTTCCATACCATTGTTCTAAATAAGTCTTATTCATTTTCCTTTGAAATATCACTTTATCAGGTGTCTAAAGTTGACGTGGAGTTGAGGGTGGAAATTTGGTATGGACTGTTTTTGATTTTGAAATAGTATCTTAGAAATATGATGCAAATGAGAGTTTATGTAACTTTTGCCCTATCAGCGGGGGAAAATTTGAGAACGTACCTTCGTATCTCATTCTTGACTTTGACATTGTGCTGCCTAGTTTTTCATTATCACCAAACCCTTCACCCCCGCCCCCCTCCCCCCGCCAACTCTAACCCAACAAAGAAGAAATTTTCGCTTCCAAAGGAAAAGTGCCCAAGCTTTAGATGAATCCCGGTAGCACGCCTGATAACTGACTTCAAGTCCATTGTGTTACAGCAATTCAAGTGCAGACATGCGTTACAGCATGGAACTTTGCGATGAGGAAAAGAAATTTCTTCTGAAAAGAAAGCAGTTTGTTTTTGACTCAATGAAAACATTTCTCGGTGAACGTGGGCCCCAAACAATTGATGAAGTAAGTAAATCCAACACGTGTTGTAATAACAAGTCCTTGCAACTTTTTCCTTTTCATACATCTTTAGAGAAATGGCCCTAAAAAATTGTTCATTAGAGTTGCTTTTTTGAACTGGTACCTCTTATCTGATTTCCAGGTTCCCACGGTCGCTATTCTGGGGTCTGGTGGCGGGTTTCGTGCCATGGTGTCTTCGAGCGGTGTGTTCTGTGCTTTGAAGGACATGGGTGTGTTAGACTGTACTATGTATGCAGCTGGACTGTCAGGTTCAGCGTGGTCAGTATTATTGGATGTGTTTTTTTTTATAGCAGATGGTCGTATCGGAAAGATAATATTTATTTTGGTTAGAAATTCACAACGATGAATTACTACAAACTTTTCTTGCGATAATTCGACACTCCTTTCAACTGAGCTAGAGTTCGTTTCACTAAACAAACAAAAGCCTCCTGTTTTGTGCTCAGATATTTTTCCGCAGATTTTATTTGTTCCACGAAGCTCACAGAAGCAGTTATTTTTTAAGCTAGATGCAGACAACTGTTTATCATCCGTCAAATACTACCGCAGTGTACGAGAAAAAATGTTTAGATATAGCTTTGCGTAGAAGAGGTTTAATGCGCATGAAGTCGACTTTTCAGTGTTCGTTCTAGGACCTTTTAAACTGGAAAATTCGCCCTTCCAATTGAAAGCAAAACAAGAGGTATTATCGTAAAAAACCTAGAGGAATATCAGCGGACACCCTCCAGTTTTACTTACGACACATTCCGTCGCGTGGTACGTTTAGACCATTCGGTCGTGGGCAAAAAATTCGATGAGTTTTAGCATACAATTTTAGCAGCGTACTAATTTTTAGTGCGAATATTTTACCCTCCCAGGTATCTGTCCACTTTATATTCTCACCCTGATTGGCCGTATGTTCATCCGAGAGTGATCCGCAAAACACTGCAAGAAAACATTAATGATAACTGGATGTGGCTGTTGATAACGCCATCTTGGATGTACAGACATCTCAAGATTATTAAAGAGAAGAA